TACAATATCACAGAGGAAAAAACAAAACATTTTCTAATAGAAGGACATTATGTGCAGTAACTACGTTGGTGTACATTCACACACAAATCGTAAACCTATAAATCTATAATAAAAAAAGATAATTGTATAAAAAAATATTTTAAATACTTCTTATATTCTCAATTTATCAAAATTTTAAATTTTAAATATATACAATATCACAGAGGAAAAAACAAAACATTTTCTATTAGAAGGACATTATGTGCAGTAACTATGTTGGTGTACATTCACACACAAATCGTAAACCTATAAATCTATAATAAAAAAATTTAATTGTATAAAAAATATTTTAAATACTTCCTATATCTAATTTAGTATATTCTAAACAATCGACTCATTTTAGCAAATTAAAATAATTATGATTACAATTGACAAACTAAAAAAAATCTTATTGTACATGAGGTGATATCATGATACTAAGTACATATACAATGTCACAAAGAAGGAATAAATGACATTATATTTTTTGTTATGAGGACAACTCACGTACATCTGTGTACACTAACGTACACTCATACACAGACCATGATGAAAGAGGTTAATCTTATTCCAAAAAAAAACCTTTTAACTATTTCAATTATCTCATTTGACATATTTTCAATAACCAACTCCTGTTTTAAAAAATTAAATAGCTATGATAATATTCATTCAAATTATTGGTTTAACTAAAGATGAAAGGGTCGCAATGTTAATATAGAGGCATTTAGTGCGTCGGGTGTTTCAGGGGTCGCAACTCCAATTTTGCGATGGTTTGTGCAACAGTACTGATAACCGTCGCAAAATTGCCTGGTGACGGACAATTCTGTGACGGTTCCCAAACCGTCGTAATGTTGTCTTTGCGGCAGTTTTAACCGTCGCAATGTAGGCCATATAACCGTCGCAAAATCGTCATTTTCTTGTAGTGTGTATGACTTGATAGGTCCGATATCTTGATATTAACTCTTTAATCTTATCCAGTAGAACGGAATACCTATGGTAATGTGAATTATCTTATTGAAGCAACTAAACCACATATAAACAATTGGACTGACAATATACATGGGAATAACCATGCTCCCAACAGAGTGCAAGTCCTTTCCACATGGCCACAAGTTCAGCATGGATATTATTACTAACTCCTATACTACCAAAGAATCCAACCATGAACCTACTTGTATTATGACGGACTAGGCCTCCCACACCTACTGCCCCTGGGTTTGTTAACGCACTACCATCAACATTTATTGTAACCCAATCTCCTTCCTTCGCCGTCCGTCTCACCAAACGAATACTCCTCTGCCATAGACTCCCTGAGGTAGGTTCACCTGCATAAGCTCTCATAAAAGCTGAGCACCATGAGATAACCCAAACCGTTAAATCAGCCACCTTATCCAACTTTCCATTAAAGACCATATTATTTCTTGATTGCTAGATAACCCAGAGTAACACCAGAATGATATTTCCTTGCTCCTCCACCAAATGCTTCAGCCAATCCTTAAGCGTTTCTGAACCTGCAGGTAGGTGGGGTTTACGCAAACCAAGAGTACTCCGAAGCGCACCAGCTCATGGGCAATCCAACAAACAATGCATAAGAGTTTCATGGTGAACATTACACACTAGACAATTATTGTTGTCGATGATACTTCGATGAACCAAAGCCTCCTTAGTTGGCAGCGCTTCATAGCAAATTTGCCATAAAAAGAATTGAATTGAAGTTGGCAAACATGTCTGCCAAATCCAAACCCAATCTGTTTCATCAAGTTGAACAGTTTGTCGTTGAAATAGCGATGTATATGTACTTTTGACTGAATACAAACCTGCCAATTCTGTCTCCCAAGTCCAAACATCCCTGACGTTCTCGGATGACACCCAGTTCACTACCATCACTTCCAAACCAATATCATTTGGTATTTGCTCTTGTTGATGCTATGGTATTTTTCTTTCAATACTTGTATTTTTGTTAGTTATTTTTTCATTTTTCTTTTGTTATTTTATTTGCTATTTATAAAAAAAAATTAATATGTAGTTACCTATGTTGTTGCCTTTACATGTCAATGACGATAATAGAGATTGGAGGAAGCAAAAAGAAATTAATTTTTAGTTTTTTGAAACAACAAATAAATTCTCAAAACAAACATTCTTAAAATATAGGATTGGATTTAACACAATCCTACAAATTTGGTTTGTAAGATGAAGAGTGTTCCCCAATTATAAATATTTTATTTATTTTATCTCTAATTAATATGAAACTTGAATATTTTTTTTCAAGACACCCTCTTACATGCAGTATTATTAAGTTTGATACACAGATAAAATAATGATTTATGATAGATACAACTTAAGTTTTTCTTAATAAACATATTTTAAAATCTACTAAAATTTGAAAATAAAAGATATTTTAAAAAGTAAAAATGACAAATATTTTCTTATACCAAACAGCCCTTCTTTGTTTATTTTCTCTTTGACCAGTCACGGTTATGGTGTGGGCCTAGCTCACGACGCTTTTTTATTTTTGGTTTATGACTTCCCATTATTTGGACTGGCACATAAATTATATTTGATTCTGAACAATTATTAATTCATTCAATGCAAATAATATAGTAAAATGAACTAACAAGATGCGTGGGAACTTATTAATTTCATTGGCTTTGTTAGTTTGTGTATTTCACTCTTCTTTGATTATTAAAAGTCAATAATTCTATGTTGGTCCAACAAGTTACATGCGAATTGTGAAATGCGAATAGCTTTCAAAGTTTTATATATACGGCAAGCATACGTTGTTACCATGGAAATAAAATACGGGTTCATTAGTTTTGGGGTAAAATAGTATAAAAAAAAATTGTGCACACACAAAAAAAAACTCATTTATATGTAGCAGAGAAAGACGATACACTATTTTCTTACACCTTATTTTCATATACATATTTTTTTAATCACTACAACAAAATTTGTTATTAACGATAATTATTTAATGATAATAATTTAATTGTCGTTATTTAATTATATAATAAAAATATTAATGGCTAATATATAATAGTCACTAAAAATTATTTATATTACATTAAAGATTACTATTAGTGACAATTATTTATAGAAAAAATTTAAGTTCCACATCAATTAGAGATAAGATAACTAAATAGCATATAAGTGAGTAATAATTATCACCTTATAAGTTGATTTTATAGGATTGAGTTAGACTCCTAATTCACTATTCTAAATTGCTATCAAATCACTCACTATTACCAAGTTCAATAGTGCTATACAATTAGAGAACAACTTTCACCTTATAAATCTTATATATCTTAAGAGATAAGACAATTAAAAAATATATAAATAGAAGACAACCTCATCTTACAAATCTCACATCGACTATAGATAAAAAAGTATATAAGTTATAAATTTAGAAAAGAAAATTATAGGAATAAATTATTTAAAGTTTTACTAGCAAGAGATAAAAGTCACTAAATGGATGGAAAGGAGACAATTGAAAAAAATAACTTTTAATAGCCTTTAAAATGGTTACTAGAATTGTCACTAAAAAAAATAAGTTTTCTCAAAAATTTAGTAGGCCTTTACCGGCATTTTATATAAATGCCGGTAATAGTATTAACAACCCTAGATACATTAGTCATTATTTAAATACTGATAAAAAAAATAATGGTCATTTATATGACTACTAAATAATAAATTAATTGTCACAAAAACTAATTTTAGTGTAGTGAACTATTCCAAATCACTCATTTTTCAATTACAGACCACCCATATAACTCATATTATTTCTATATATACTTTAAAAATAATATATGAAGACATGAAGTGATTCATTTTGCTTAATAAATTTTAATATTAATTATTTTTTTATATATAATCTTATAATTTAACAATATATATCATAAAATTAATGTAGACTTCTTGTGAAAAAAAAATTACTGATCCGTTTTTATATATAAACTTTTTTTTACTATTTTTCCCATTTTATAAAATCATATTCTAATTATTAGTTGTATTAATTATATTTTTTAAAAATATTTTTATTTTATTAACGATTCTTATAGGTAAAAATAATATTTTTTTTAAATTAGTAGGATAAATTTTGCTCTCTCTCATTAAGATTATAAAAAATAAATATACATAAATATCTATTTCATCTAGTTTGACATGATTTTCTTTTCAAATATTAATTAATTAGATAAAAAATAGTTATGTGAAAAGAGAAAAGGTTAATTTAAGAGATATTAAGAATAGTTTTTTTGGAAAGGTGGTTTAAAGGTTAAATAAATAAATATATATATATATATATATATATATATATATATTTTTTTTTTTTCTTTTTCTTTTTCTTTTCCACAGTTGCTTATTTTATCTTTTAGTCTTTATATTTATCTTTTTTTTTTTAAATTTTTTTTAATTTTTATAGTTTCAAGATGTCTTTTATTTGTTTAAGATAGATCTTTAGTCTGTATACTTACAATTTTTTAATCCTTTTAGTTTCTATTGTTATTTTTTTTTGGTAACGTCTTGTTCATGTTGTTGTGACATATGTTTTAATTTAACTATGTGTATATGGTATCTGTCGACGTTTCGTATCTCTTTTTTATCCTCATTTGCAACATCCATTATTGAGACACCTATTCTTACCCTCACAAAATTAAAGATCTCTACGTCAATACAAAGCAGACAACATCACACACACAAAAAAAAATTAACAATAAGGATTAAAAGGATTAAAAACTTCAAGTATAAGAACTAAAAAACTCTATCTTAAAACTATAGAAACTAAAAATGATTGAAAAAGATAAATATAAAGACTAAAAATATTTATTTTTAACTATAAGTACTAAAAGTTAAAGTAAATAAAACTATACAAACTAAAAAATTATTTTAACCTAATTTAAATTAGTGACAAATTTAATGCTCTTAACTAAATTAACTAAAAGACATCAAATAAAAACAAAATTAACTAATTTTTTAAAACGGTGTAATTTAGTTAAAAGAATTTTATAAATAAAGATTATAATATACTAATATAGATGTTATACAATACCATCTATGGGTTTGTTTACATTATATATTTTTTAAAATTTGTATTATTTATATTGATAAAAAAATTGCATATTTTATAATGTATGTCCGTAATTAAAAGTAAGATTTATAAAAATATTTAATTGTATATCACTTATAATTTTTTTATTTTTATTTTTATGAACATAGTTCACGTATGAAGATCGGTCTTAATATTTAATGGGCTTTAGACAAAACAATGAATTAGAACCTCTCAAATATAAGTATTAAAATATAAAAATATATTTTCTAAAAAAAATAGACACATAATTTTATTAAAAAAGATTATACATCTTATTATATTAAGTGCATAATATAACTTTAGAGAAGGAAGGGAATATAGTAATAGTATGTAGTAGAGTTGTTAATTTGAGTCCAACTCACAAATAAGGTCAAGTTGGAACTTAAAAAGGATAGCCTAATAGAATTCGGTCATTTTGGTTTGGCCTGTTAAGCTCAATAGGTCAAATGAGCATATGTCAGCCATACCCATTAAACTAATAGGTGAAATAATCTAAACTATTGTCAACCTATAATTTTGTAATGTATTATAAAATAATAAAATAAATTATAATAATAGCAATAATCTTTCACTCTTTTGTATTTACTTAAAGAATTGTGGTTACAAGGTTAGAGTTAGGGATAGTCATTGTGAAAGTTTCGTTGTTCTTGTTGCGCTCTTGATAGCTTGACCTCATGACTTGTCATTTGTGTTTTGTTTGTTGAAGAAGATGGAGACCAGTCACGCTCGTGTCTGTGCTCATGGAGTCACCATGATGACTCTATAACAACCGGACAGGTCATTACATTTATTATAACATAGCTATCAAGGAATGAAAAACATAAACATCATTTAACCTAAGATTCTCATGCAAGAAATACCTGGCTATTCATGCAATAATTTATCTATAAAAGTAAAAAAACTTAAAATAGTCTCTTCTTATAACATCTTAAAACATAAAATCCCTTAGTGGAATTACAACACAATAACTATTTGTATCAAAACACATCATCTCCTACATGGCCCAACATCATGCTCGCTCTACAACCTAATCTTGACTTGCTCACATAATAATATGATCATTAGAGTCCAAGAACATGGAAAAGCAAAGGTAATCTTGCATACAAAGAAAAAAAAAATATAGAAGCCATCATCTAACTATATAACATCTTCACAACAATCAACACAACAATAACAATATGCTCTTCTTAACAACATAGAACAACACAAGTAATCATTAATATGAATTAACAATTTTACAACTCTACATACAACTTAACAACACAATATCTTAACAACACAACATCTTAATGCATCGTCACACATTTCAACTAAGAGAGCTCTTACAACA